TGGATCCCATGTTCGTGCCCAAGGTAAACTCGCTTTTTCATAGGTCACAGGAAATCATTTTACCTGATTTTTATCCCAATCCTTCCCATGACTTGGAGCGGCAGTGGCACACGTTGGATGTCCGTAGGGCGCTGCGCCAGTACATCAAGAGAACTGTGTCTTTCCATAGGTCTGCAACCTCCGCTGCCTGGCCCAGTCAAGCGTCCATCAAGGAGGTTTGCGATATGGTCTTCGCCCTCTCTGTTTGTCCATTATAAGATTGACCGTTTTGCCTCCTCAGAAGCCTCCTTTGGTAGGAGGGTCCTTCAGCAGGTTGTTTCTGTGGTCACGGATCCGGCCTTGACTGTTTCCCCCCCATTGGGACAGTGAGGCTTTGGTATGTCCCATTGGTGGATTCTCCATCTCCTGTGCGGAAGAAGGGGCGTTGTCTTACCTGAATGCCTTTTCTCAGCACGGAGATGGAGAATCCATATCCACCCTTAAGGTCAGTTAGGCCAGAGTTAGGGTTCTGTGAGCCAACACCTGCGTCTATCATCAGCCGCTTTCGCCCTCGCCAAGACTGGGTTCTCCTAGCAACAGGGGGCATGTCAAGTTTGGTTGACTTCGTCTCAAGAGCAGGCAGACAGGGAAAACCCATTGGTGGATTCTCCAGCTCCGTGCTGAGAAAAGGCGTTCAGCTAAGACAACGCCCCTTCTCTCCTCTGTTCATTTTACTTCTTGAAGTACCAAATAAAGATGTAAAACATCATGAAATGTTTCATCCTTTTCTGAAGTGTTTTGACTATTCAGCTATTCTTTGAGAAAAAAAACTTAAAAGATTAGTAGAAATAGTGGAAATGAAACCGGGCTATTGCATTTTATTTTCATTTGAGATATTAAGCAATATTTTTATAGAAATGCTCTTTATATATTGCATAACAATCAACTATAATTACACAGTTGTGTACCTAAATGATTTGGGCCTGCAGAAATCGCCTTCATAATTGTATATGTGGGACATTTGCTTCTCTCAAATTGAAGGTTAGTCACTCAGAGGTTTAGTAAAGAGATGAGAGCGCACTGGGGCTTTAGAGAATACTATAGGTAATGAGGGCAGCTGTGTTATGGTAAGGGAAAAGCTAATCAGTTTCATTCAATTCACCAGTTACTGGAACTATTTTCAGCTTGTTAAACTTCATAATATAGAATGATTGCTAAATGAGCATTAGCTTGTATCTTTTGATGTGCTACAAATGCAACTGAAATTACTGAATCAGTTGTCCTGCAGAGTAACAATCTCCAAAATAGATAACATTCATAATAAAGTATAGATACATTGGTACAGATTGTTTAAATTCGTATTATCCTAGTTCCAAAGAGCTTTGTGACTTAATTTCTTGGCCTATTTTCTGTAGAAAGAGGGAAAAGGAGGATTAGACATTTTTAAAAACTTACTGGAGTTATAAGGGAAAGATAATGTAATTAGAGATTACATTAGATTAGATCTTTTTTCTTTGCTACTCTTTCTCACACAAAACCAGAACTGGATTTATGGAGGAAAATGGTGCACATAAAATACTTCTGTCAGAAAATGTTTTGAAGGTTTTTCTACTAGCATAGGTAGATAAAAATCTAGAGTATTATGTCCATGAAAACTAAATGGATAGATAAATCCTGAAGGCTGCATTTTGGAGAAGCATACAAACATTACTAAAACATAAAAAAAACCCTAAACTGAATCAGACATAACATCCATATAGTCAATCATTCTGTATCATGGAGCTTGTTTAGATACTATTGGTAAGCTCATAGCAAGGTATGTGAAATGGAATCTTCCTTGTATCCTTGACTAAATAACATGGAGAGTCACATGGCTTCAGAGTCTGGAGCCAACTTAAAGTCTTTATGACTTTGATAGCTTCATCTTATCATTTTTTAAACCCTTGTGGTTGGTGACATTGCTTCAATTAACTCTGCCCACTGCCAGGACCGACTCAAGGTTGACTCAGACTTCTATTCTTCTGAGGTTGGTAAAATGAGGATTCACATTGTTAGGGGCAATATGCTGATTCTAAAAACTGCTTAGAGATGGCTGTAAAGCACTATGAAGCAGTTGTCATGACCCCCTCAGAGGCTGGTTCGGAGAAGGAGGAAGAAGAGTTGGAGCTGGGATCATTCGACAGGTAAGGCAAGCCAAGGCTGAGGATGATGCTGTCCTGGGCCCTTCAGGCATTGGGGAAGGTGGTCGACCAGATGGAGAGCTGCTTGCCTGCACAGATACAGGAGAGGATTGGCTACTAATAGGCAGCAGTGGAACTAATAGGCAGCCAATCTCCTCTGACAAGGAACAGCTGCCTACTCCTCTCAATCTAAGGCAGGCATGTCAAACTCGTGATATCATGTGATGCCGTGCGACATATCACGACTTTTTCCCCATTGCCAGCAATGGGGTGGGTGCAGTTTCAATATGATACATCCAGGAACAATTGTTTGCTTTGGCTTACACTCCCCTGCTTTTACTTGTGCCTGTTGCTGTTTGCCTTGTCTCGCTTGAAAGATTGCTCTTCTCTGCTGGCATTTGTTTGGCCTTTGTTTCACTGGGGCTTTGGAACTGCTTCTTTTATGGGACCTGTTTCTTGTCCTGAGAACTGCCCTTTTCTTGTGCCTGGATCCTGCCTGGTGGATTAGACTTGGAACCCTAGACCTTGCCTTGTGAGCGTGGTCCTACTCTGGGGCCTGTTGTTTGGGGGACTGAAGGTGGTTGCCTTCAGGGTAGTATGAGGGTAGAGCCTTTCCAGTTGTTGGAGGGCCATTGGCTGGAACATTATTAAGAAGAAATAAAGAATTCTTTAGAGGCCTGCATTGCCTTGACCACCTGGGTCATAACAGTGGTATATAAGTCTAAGTGCTATTGTTATCTTTCCATAAGACATTAAGAAATTTGAAAACTACAAGGGATATTTTTTAGAATCTTGTATTCTAAGAGGGTATTTAGAGTTGTATGTGTGAATAGCATAATTCACATGTACAGCGACAACCATTTGTTTAGTGACCAGTACAACGGCACTAAAAAAAGGGATTTATAACCATTTGTCACAATTATGACCGTTACAGCAGCATCGTGGTCATGTGATAAAAATTTGGATGCTTGGCAACTGGCATGAATTTGTGACTTTTGCAGTGTCCTAGGGTCATGTGATCATTTTTACAACCTTCTGATAAGCAAAGTCAATGGAGAAGCCAAGTTTACTTAGCAACCATGTTACTAACAGAATAATTTTTAATTTAATAATTGTAACAAAGTTGAAAAATGGGGCAAAACTCATTTAACAACTGTCTTGCTTAGCAACAGAAATTTTGGGCTCAACTGTGGTCATAAGTCAAAGACTACTTGTATATTGTTTATATCATGGCTAGGCTAAGGATCTTGGAAGAAAAGGGATAAATTTATATTTTAGACCAAGTTTATAGTTGTTTGTTATTAATACAATTCATCTACATAATCTATTCATCATAGTTTGTTATTGTGGGGAAAATAGGAGACAGGTGTGTCAGATGTGTTTGCTGCTTTGAGTTATTTGTAAAAACTGGTTCTCTGTAGTCACTATTAGGAATATTGCAATTATTCTTTAAAAGACGGTATAAGCTTGCTTAGATAAAGTAATCCCACATTACCAATATCAGACATGGACCAGAAATCATTAGTTATTGCTGCTTTAGAACATTACGAACATAAGACAGGAAAAAATGTTGATTTTCCTAGTATATTAGGATGAATATGGAGATAGCATTCATTAAGCTAGATTCCTCAGTATTATTTAGATTTAGATATAAATCTAAAATGTATATTGGATTTTTTTTGCATACCCACATTACTTTTCATACTCTATCACGAAGGACTTGTTTTGAAAAGTATAATTCCAAATATTTCTTAGTGCCTGCAATTAGGTATGGTACCCTTTCGATTCAGGTAGGATAAATTGTTCCTTGGCTAGGTTTGTTATGTGTTTCATTAGAAGTCAAACTTGTCTTGCTTGGGTTTGCAGCAGTAGATTTCCATAGGCTTCAAAACTCCGTTAAGCAAATTTATTGTAAAAACAAAAAATAAAAAAAACCAATGAAGTCATTAGAAAAAAGAATTTCATCAACCACTGTGCATCAGATGGAAGGCTATTTATAGTGAAACCAGTTCCAATCTTTTCCCTACCTACACAGTCTAACAGGCTAATAGCTATTTTCTTGTAGGTGGAAGAGATAGTTTCTATCTGTGTCTTGTTTTTCCTAAAAAGCCAGTCTTGATATCAAAACGGTTTTCTGGTGTCTTTGTATGAACATTTTCCACATCACTAACCCAATCTTCATATATTTAGTTGACCTTACTTGATATAAAGGAGTAGCTGTTACGGTAGCCAAGAGGAGATGAAAAATGCTAGGAAGATTAGTGAATATGCTGGTAAAAAATGCACGTATAAAAGGCTCAGAGCCCTGCACCATGCACCAGTCTTGCCCAATTTGTTCTGTAACATTGCCCATTAAAATGTCTTTCAGCTGAAATTACAAAGCAACAAAAATGCTTCAGATATTGGTGTAACTGAATTGGAAACATCTGGGTTTATCTATTAGTAAAACAAAACACATTTACCATTTTAAGTTCAACCCAATGGTGTGCAATTTTGTGAGGTTAGAAAATATGTGCTGATATGTGCAATCTCAATTTCTTCCTTTCATCATGTGTTCACCGCTACCTGAACAACGCTTTTGTCAATTTATGTTGCTGTTCATTCAGCCAAATATATATCTCTTTGTTAATTAGTACTTTTAACTGTTTCAAATTTCATGGTGAGGTGTTCTTATTTCTCTCTGGATTACACAAATAAAAAAAAACATATTAACTGTGTCTTCTAATTAGATAAACACTTGCATGTATAATTAATGGTATGCATAATGAGTTTAAAACAAGAATTTTAATTTTGTATTTTAAATGGGAGAAAGCAATAACTATTCTCTCTTTCTTTTTGCAGCCTATAGCATTGTCTTCCATTAGGTGAGTACATTGTTTAATTTAACAATTAAAAATTAACCACCTGTACTTTTAAATGTATTTTGTTTCTTTAAAGACATCTCATATTGCTATATAAAGTTAACAGCTTGGAGCTATATTTATATACAGCAGTTTGACTATATTTGAATTTTGTAGATCAGCACATGTGGCAATAGCATTCATTAAGGTAGATTCTGCAGTATTAAGTTTTGTTGTAATGTGAATTCTGAGGATAAACACCCCCCCAAGCATGTAATATTTAAAATAAATGTGTTGTATATCTCAGCAGAGTGAACTGAAGCCATTACAGAGTATATATAATGATTTACCACAGATGAAGTATCATCACTATGTTGATGGTATCCAGGAGTATATCTACATCCTGGACAAAGTAAGTGATGTTGTGGATGTCCTTTCACAATGCCTGGAACAACAGACTTCAATTGGACTTTGGTAGGACAGAATGGCTATGGGTAGTAGAAAGTTTCTCTGTATCCAGGAACTTGGTCCTGCCAAGACTTTGACTGGCAGGACCCAAGAAGAGAATCTTCTCTACCAACACTCTTGTCCTATGGAACATCTTATCCATAAGACTGAGGCAAATTCACCTCTTCTGTGCTGCTTAGTTATACATCCCTGACCCAAACTGTCCAAGTGATATGTTGGACGTGCTGTAAAGGTCTTTGGGAAAGAATCAGCTTTGGTTCAAATAAGTGTCTATGGATTTTAGAGACTCTGGCTGGGATACGCTCCCCCCTCCCCCCCAGTCAGAATTTAACTCTGGCTGGGATACACTCCCCCCTCTATCCCAGTCAGAATTAGTGTATCAGTTCTGGATTCATGAATCCTGTTTCATGAACAAGTGATAGACACAGTTATGAAAGCCTTTGCACAACTACACTCTTTCCTAGATCAAGACATACTGTTTGTGCTCATTCATGCCTTAGTCACCTCCCAATTAGACTAATGCAATAGCCTCTATATAGATCTTTCCTTGAAAAACATACACCAATATAGGATTCCCACTGAAGAGTTTCGTGGCTTCCAGAGGGCTTTTTAGTGAATTCAATGAGCTGATTGTCACCTTTAAAGTCCTTGGTATAAAGCTAAATTACTTGTGGGACTGGTTCTTCCAATGGTTTCTTTCTCTCCCAATAGATCTGACATAGTGGGCATGCTGTGGATCTCTTTGCTGAAACAGTTTTGCCTAGTGGGACTTTGAAGCATAGCTTATCTTGTGCTTATGTGTTTGCTTTATGTATTTCAAAGGGCCCTGAAGACAGGGCTCTTCATCCTTCCTTTGAAATTATATATGAGCCCAGCCCTGCTGGTCTCTAGGAAAGCAATTAACTACGTTTTATTCCCCCGGGCACTGGGACCAAAGTATTGATGGATCTGGCATCATTAATATTATGGTTGGTTGCACAGTCAGCCAAATGTTTAGACTGGATTTGGCATTTTTATCTTCGTATTGAATCCTTCCCATGGACATGGTGTTAGAGGTATTATCACAGAATGTAAGCTGCACCAATAAAGCTGCCTTTTGCAATTGACTGATAGAGATTTTGACAATCATCATCATCATCATCATCTTGGTTTTTTATTATTGTTATTGTTATTATTATGGCTGACTTCCAATAATTCTGGATGGTTTATAAACTGTTTTAAAAAAACAAACAAAAAAAACCGAAGGAACAAATATAACAGAAATAACAAACCCAGATTGGAACAAAAAAAGACAAATCAAAGGTTTCCATCATCTTCAACAAAGGTCTTCATGGCCCTTTGAAATGCCAGTAGGGTAGGGCCTGTTTGAATCTTGGAACCTCATTCCAGAGGGCAGGGGGTGCTACAGAGAAGGACCACTTCTTTAGTTTCAATAAATGGCATTGTGTAATTGAAGAAACATGGAATAGTGTGGATACCTTATTGATGTGAGATTTATCGAGGCTTCACAGTGTCTTTTTTGTTTTAGTGATGGTGGTGTTTGATAATTGTATTTCATTTTTATTCTTGTTTGCAACCCAGAGTTTCCTTTAGTAGGTAGGTTGAGAAGATTTATTCTGACTCTAACATAGACTTTAGTGCATTCCAGATGTTTGGGACTACAACCCCAGAACTCCTGAATCATTAGACATGCTATCTGTTTAGATTTCTGATCATTTTAGTTAAGCTTTCAGGATTTCAAGGAAATGGATTGTTTGAAAGACTAAAGCAGGGGTGTCAGTCTGCCGGCCCTCGGGCCAGATGCGTCACACCAAAACTGCACCCATCTCATTGCCGGCAATAGGAAAAAAGTCACGATATGTTGCGACACGTCACGTGACATAGCGAGTTTGACATCTGTGGCCTAAAGCATAGAAAATTCAAGTGATGATTTGGACTCCAGAATCTTACCTGAGGGTTTAAGAAGGAGGATTAATACTCTTCTTCTGAAGAATAGTATTGTTGGAATCTCTTATTAAGCCTTGCTTATTCTCCCTTTGAAAAGACATCTCATATGAATAAATAATTGAGAAACCATTCTATGCTTGGAAATACATAGGAAAGCTGAATGATCTGTTCTAATTTTGTTGATACAGACAACCCAGGGCTGCTGTTTGCATCAAAAATACTTGTTTTAGTAAACTACTGTATTATAGTAGTTTAAAATTTGATCACGCTGTTAAGCTGCTCGTGTAGGAAGTGATTGTTGGGAACAAGAGATGTACACTTTTTAGAGTTGAAATAAAAATGACAAGCAAGAACTGTTGCAAAGCTGCTAGCCTTAAAAAATATGGAGGAACTGAATTTTTGTCCTTGTAGATTCAAATAGTATATTGTATTTCTAGAGCGCTCATTCTCCCTGCCCTTCTGACTCGAGACATTTCTTAATACTTTTTCTAAGAGCAAGAATTGCATAGAATCTGCAGCTGCATGGAAGAGACTCTGAGTTGTAAAGCTAGTAATTTTTAAATCACTAATCAGAATGAATGCTTCCTATTCCTGTAAGGCGAGGAAATATTTTACACTATAAAAAAGAACAGCCCTTTCCTATGACTCTCTTAAGCTGTTTGACTGTTTATCACATGACAAAGCAACTATTACAGGATGCAGAAATCAAGATTTCCATTTATAAGAACAGAATTGGGTGGGAAAGAGATGAAAAAAAGGAGGTGGGGAAACCACTACTCTGCCTTTTAAAAAGAACATAATTGCATATTGGCCAGAATTTCCTGAAAAACAATTTGCTGATAAGGAATTACTTCCAGTTTAGAAGCAAAATGGATTTCAGGCTGTTATTCAGAAGAACTTTCATTAACGGAAAGAAGGTAAATATAGTAGTTGGATTTAATTTTATATGATAAAAAAGTATATAATACTTTATAAGTTTAAAGTTAATCGAAATGAGAAAAGTAACCCAGAATCAAACAATGTAATAGATTATTCTGGATTTTTATATATTAACTCATACTTAATATTTCATTATATCTGTTCTTTTACAATGGTACATGGTGTAATTGTTCTTTCATTAAAGAACACATTTTTTGTTTTATGTATACTGCTGGGATAATTATTAAAGTTAGATGTAGTTAATTCATAAATGTATAAATTAGTTTTTTTTAGGTTGCAATCTTGGACTGAAGATAATTTGAGACATGATTACAGTTTTAAACAGATTTAAAATGTGAGGTTTTTAATAGGTTGAGGAACAAGGTATTGTGTGTAATCCATGGTTCCTTAAATCTGGATAAAAATTCAAAAATCAATAGAAAGAACTCTCTTTTAGCACATAGTTTGTTGTTTATATGTGTTCATGAATTTTGGCTCTGATTCAAAATATAGTGCATCTAATGTTAAGTTTGGTGACAGTTCTAAGGTGCTAAACAAATTATTAGCACATGCAGATACTTTCACCTAATAGGTGCTATAAGAATTGGGAACACTGATAAATTTTGAACAGGGAAAATTATAAATAAAGCTAACCTAGTTTTTCTTAGTATCTATTACTCTATTAACTGATCTGAGTTGGGAAAGTAATGTTTAATGTAGATTTGGACAATCAAGTGGCCCATACTTGCATGTAGTTTCCAGTTTCCAGAAATAATCTAAGATCCTGTTGCTGAAATTTGGAAACAAAATGGCAAGATTTTAGTAATGTACCTTTGTAATCATCTGCTAAAATAATAGTAACAAGTAGATATGGAATGCTTAAAACAAAACAGGAGCAAAGATTAGATACTTTTGCGCTGTTCAGCCAGTATTACAACTGCGTTGTCCCTAGAACCCAAAACAACATCTCTTGCTATCACTAAATAATATGCATGTTCAAACTTGAAAAAAGAAACACAAGATAAGATGATATATGTGAGCGATCTTCTATCCCAAAAATACTTTTTCTATATGGGTAATGTGCCTTTGGGGCAGATCTGTGAATGATGATGAGTAATCTGATCCTGAGAACGGGACATTTTCTTGATTACATTTAAAAAAATATTTTAACTGTGCCTTTCTTAATATTCTTGCATTTTCTTATTAATTACAGTACTTTACTGTACTTCCCTATAAATCTGTACAACTGACTTCCCAATTCCTTTTTCAATTTTGTTGAAAACAGTATTTCAATGCATAAATCTTTTAGAAGTTTGCAGGAAAAGGAAATGGGAAATAACAAATGACATTAGTTGTCTACTCCAAGTTTTTCTTTTTTAATTAATTTATTTATTTATACTAAAACTGATGCATAACAGTGGAATGCTAAAAGATGCTAAAAGCATAGCAGTTGTTTGATGTAAAAGTACAGGAAACCACTGTAATACAGGAGGCTTGGGGAAATGACAACACCAAAGCAAGCCAATATATTAACAGATAAAGTTTAACAAATAATCAAAAATATATACCATGGAAGGGAAAGAATAGCAAAGATCAATAGGGAAAGGTATATGCTGAACGTGCAGAGATTATAAAAATTAAAAAAAAATTCATTTGGCAAAGGATGCTAAAAGAACCAAAAGGGCTACCGT